CCAATCAGACTCTTCCTTGATTAACATAGAGATATTGGGTTTACAACACTGCAGGGACAGGTGATCAGGTTCCTCATTGCATAGAGAGGCCCTGCTATGCCACGGCAAGAGGGGAGCTGACGTGGAAAGAGAGACACACAGCCCGAGAGAAGGATGGATGGTGACGGTGGAGGAATGAATGGGGTTAAGTCCCGTYCTGGCCCTCCAGGGTGTGGTTCATGGATTTGGTGAATGATGGCAGTGACCTTATGCCCTGTAGCAGCCACACCCCTTTGGTTTTGGTGAACTCGGGTTGAACTTCTGTCTTAGAGCCGAAAGATCTCCATTAATAGAATTAGAAAWGGTAGAGTCAAGTCTTAACTCCTGTGTCACAGCCATTTTCTAGTCTTACAAGTTGATCTTTTAAAAGGTCTTTCTGGGGATCACTTCCTCATGAGTAATACCCTRTAATTTTAAAAACCACCACTCATACTTCTGAGTCACCTGGCTTTTTCTGAAACTGCCTCTAGTCTTTTTCTGAGACTTAGGACGTTCCCTGGCTTTATCAAGACGCAGTGAAACACATTTCTCAAGTTGGGTGTTTCTGGGAAGCTGGTTAATCACCCTGATTTATGTAGATTTCTGTTAGCCCTAGTTTCACCGGAGACACTGTCCTTTCTTGGCTCTCTGTTCTGGCCAATGGCGGAGCCTGGCTYGAGACTCCAGCCTGCCTGACACCCAGACCCATGTACTTGCTGGGACGGCAGCCAGCCTCTGGCTGCGGGGAGGCCACGAAGAATCGGTAGCCAGTTTGGAAGCGTCCCAGGCTCTCTTGAATCAGATGTCAGGTGACAGAACTCAGGGACTATGGGCCTTTGTGCACTGACATTCCCTAAGGAATGGTGAGTTGGGGAGACGGCAAGTTCCCAATTCTGGTGCTTAGTGGTACAGGAAAAAATGTTCCAGAAAAAAAAGGTCATGTTTTTAAAAGTTTTTATTTTTATTTTTTTTCAGGCCAGGAGATTTAATATGAAAGTGAAATATTAAAGTTGAACGAGTTTTTGTTTAAGCTACAAAGCATATTTTCCTTGGTGACAACAGAATGTAATAAATAATCCTTTAATGTATACACAAGGTGACTGTAACCTATGGGGTAGAAAACCATATTTCGTGGGACTCATTTTAAATCATATTCATGAGTTAGTGATAACATAGGCATTAAACTCTAAGTTTGTAGTGGCAAATGAATGATCTCAAATGTTAGCTAAAAACAAGTCCCTAATTTTGAAAGAGAATAAAATAGAAAGGAGATGAACTGTGATTCCTGGAGAGATAATAAGAAATAAATGCATATGCATTTTTTTCAGTACCGAGAATTGAATCCAGGGGTCCTTTACTGCTGAGCTACATCCCACCACCCCTTTTATATTGCTGTGTTGCTGAGGCTGGCCTCAAACTTTTGAACCTACTGCCTTAGCCTCCTAAAATGCTGGGATTACAGTTGTGCCACCGCACTCATTTGGAGAAAGACTATTTCTTGAAAAAATTATTTTTAGAAAGCATAGCTAAGTTAATATTTGAGTATATCCTGCCATTATAGAAACTGATTTTTGGCATGTGTGGAGAAAACAGGCCCTGCTAGCATTTTGATTGTAACTGAATTATAAAATAATTGCACTGATGCTTTTATCCGACATGTATAATTTTTAATGTATTACCACTGAAAAACTCTGAGACAGCTAACATGTAATAAATCTCTGATGTTTGAGAATGATATTTGAATGATTGTTGCTGTGAACGTATTTGCTGATTGTTACCATTTTAAGATTCCAARTGATATAGCTATTTGATATATCTTGTGTTGATTAATTGGTATTTGAAAATAAGTATATACTTTTTWATTTCTGAGTAGTTTTTGGGAAAAAGTGAATTGAATATAGTTTCCAGTCATGTATTATCCTAACTTGTATTAAGAAATTTATTTAAAAATCTTCTCATCAGAAGAGAGTTAATTAGGTAAGGCACAGTGTCACCTGCCTGTAATCCCCACAACTCGGGCAGCCGAGGCCAGCCTCACCCCTGAGCAAGACCCTGTCTCAAAATAAAAAATAAAAGGACTGGGGATGTGGCTCAGTGGTTAAGCATCTTTAGGTTCATTCCCCAGTACAGAGAGAGAGAGAGAGAGAGAGAGAGAGAAGAAACAAGAAAAAGAGAGTTAATTAGTAACTCTCTTTTCTTCTTTTAGTGGAACCAAAAGTTTAGGAAATCTGACTTCTTTCCCTCATGGTGGGCATGTTGACATCACTTACAACCATCATTTCTCTGCAAGTTTTCTACCTAGTTTATTAAAAATCAATGCTACGCTGGGCTGGGGATGTGGCTCAAGCGGTAGCGCACTCACCTGGGATGCGTGCGGCCCCGGGTTYGATCCTCAGCACCACATACCAACAAAGATGTTGTGTCCGCCGAAAACTAAAAAAAAAAATATATATATATATTAAAAAATTCTCTCTCTCTTAAAAAAAAAATCAATGCTATAAATGACTTTTTGAAAAAGAGGCTGAGGATGTAGCTTATGGTGGAGCACTTGCTGAACCTGTGGGTTCAGTCCTGGGATCAGTCCCCAGGCTGCAGAAACACACACACGCACAACCTCCATGCTATGAAAGTTCTCTGAAAGGTTCAGCAGTGTATTTTGGAGTCATTTTTTTTYCCTGAGCATTCTCTGAATCAGTTTCTTCCAGGGTAAATATTTTACCTAGCAATTTTAGAATAGGAAGAGCTGTTGCCAGAAGGGATATGTGGTGTTTTTCAGTGAGGTCTTTAATGTGGGTCACCCTATGAGAAATGAGAAATTTCTGGACAGCCCTTTCCCACTGGAAGGGACCTGTGTATGAGCCATAGGTTCCAACTTGTCTAGTGGGACAGCAGACCACTTATTTTTATGTTCAACTTCAATATTCTTCCCTTTAGAAACCATTTTTGGAGTGGCACTTCCCAGTTTGTGATGCTGACCTGGGAAGGGTTGGAACACAGGCTCCACAGACCTCCAGACTTTGTAACTTTAATATCAAAAGATCCCTGTGACTCTGGAGTAATTATCTCTTTTTGGGGGGTGGGCAGGTGGGTTCTGGGGATTGAACTCAGGGGCACTCAACCACTGAGCCACATCCCCAGCCCTATTTTGTATTTTATTTAGAGACAGGGTCTCACTGAGTTGCTTASGGTCTCACTGAGTCGTGGCTGGCCTCCACCTTGTGATCCTCCTGCCTCAGCCTCCTGAGTTGCTGGGATCACAGGCCCATGCACTGTGACCYACTGTCCCTCGGCCACTTGAAATGATTTCTGGGGAATCTCAGCCCACCTGGACTTCTTAGCAGGAACTGCTAGGAAACKCCTTTGAAGCGAGGCAGGTGTGGGTGTGGGAAGGCTCCGTGGAGGTGAATCAGYGCGGCTTGGTCCAGGGTGACTCAGGAGCAGGGCCTGGGAAGGGCTGGCCACCAGAGGGAGAAGCGGTGGGGAAGTCGCAAGCGGAGACCAGCGCTGCAATTACACGTCGCCACCACCAGGGGGCAGGAGCCGGTTGGGCAAAAGCCAGCAGCCGCTGGTGCAACACTTGTGTCACTTGGAGCACCCAGAGGGCGTGGATGGAATGGAAGATCCAGTTTCTCCAGCTGGACATCCTTGCCCTGGGCATCCCCACTGCCTGCCTGTGTCCTGGCTTCTCTGCCTGTAGAGAAGTGGAGAATGTTGGAACAGAATCAGGCTCAGGCCTCTCATTCATCCAACAGACCTGACCCGCTGTGGGGGAATGATTGCTTGAGGTCACACAGCAAGCTGGTGGCAAGTGAGTCTGATTTTCACAGACACAAAGCATTGCCGTGGGGTGGGCACAATTCTGGCTTCAGTTCCGGAGGGGAGACACCTGGCTATGGACAGGCCTCCCGATGCGGGGGGACTCCCAAGAGCCCTCTCCCCCTTCTGGTTCCAGACCAGTCACTCCGTCYCCATTCCGTTTCTGCTTGACCTTTCCCCCAACTTCTCTTTCATAGCTCCGTACCCTCTCTCTCTTTCTCTCTTTTTCCATGACTGCCTCTTTTTTGTCTCTCTTTGTCGGCCTCCTGTCTCCATCCCTCCCCACCAGGGAGTTTGCTCTGCTCCTTAGCTGGTCCCCGTGATGGGACGTTTCCTGTGGTCACTCCTCAGGGATTTGTAGCTCTCTGAAGCTCTGTTTTCCAGCCCGATGCCTCAGTTCCACTCCTGGGACCCAGAGGAGACGTTGTTATTTGCTAGTGTCATCAGTGGTGTGACCTCAGGTGTCGAGAACAACTCCCTGACCTCCTGGCTCCTCGATGCCACCCCCAGTGACCCTCATTGCCATTCAGCGGTCGTAAACACTGCTCAGCACCTGGTGTGGGTGAGACCCTTTGCTCATGCAGAAATGAATCAGGCCCAGTCCCTGCTTGGTGAGCTCACCATGAGCAGGTGAGGGCAAAAGAAAACAGGTACACAAAAGACTCAGTGTAGCTGGGAGTGAGTGCTCGGGAAGGCTCTGTGTGGGACAGAACAGGTGGAAACCGAATCTGGCTGGGCCTGGGAAGGCTCTGTGAAGGGGAGAAGGGATCTTGGCAGAGGAGATGTGGGTGTGTGTGGGCACATTCTGAGCAAAGCGATGTCATCAGCCAAGGGTCTGGGTCACAGCAGCTGTGTCCAGCCCTGTACRTGCTCAGTGAGCAAGGCAGTCGGGCATCATCAGGGAGGTGGGAAAGCAGGGGGAACCGGAGTGTGGAGCACCTCGCTGCTGGCCTTACGGAACAGCCGGTGCAGTYTGAGTAGGGAGGGACCCTCTGAAGCCCCCGTGAAATGGAACAATGGCTGTGCACCACGTCCCATTTGCCCTCACCCTAAMCCACTTCATCTCCTGCTCCCCTTGGCCCCTAAGTCTCACAGTGGCCCCCAGGAAGGACCAGCCGGCTCAGGGTCTGACCTCTSTGCTCTTGGTCTGCTCAGGCTGTGTGGTGCCATCATCCATGTCTAGACCTGGGTCCTTCAGTGGAGGTCTCCATGCCAGTACTTTGGCCCCGGGTTTTCTGGCTGCTGCTGCCCTGGTGCTGGGGGAGTAGGGCGTGCCGCTGAGTCACTGCCTGGGCATCTGGGTCTGGAACCACGGGTGAGTCACCAAGGGGGGGTGTTGGGGGGTTGGGGGAGGGGAAGATCTGTTTGACATCTGGAGTGGGGAGGGGAGCTAGGCCCACAGGAAGGGCGGTGCCCAACGGGGTTTAGGGTACACAGAGTGCGGGAGGTGGGTGCCCTGGGAGGGGTGGTGGTGAAGCTGAATCTTCCCTAAAAACCTCTCCCCTGGGCTGGCTTGAGGGCCACAGTGCTCACCCTTCTCTGGGTTTGGAGAGGGCAGGCGGGGAGTTGGGGGTGGTGAGGGAGGCTGTGGCTGGGCCTCTGCTTCAGGCCTGGCCTCCTGGCTGGGGAAACTGCCCAACTGCCTCTTTCCAGCTTCCGGTAGGGGTGTCTTCCCACCCACTCCCCACCTTCCAAGCTGGAGAAGAGGAGCCCAGGGTTTTCCTGTTCTGCCCTGGACCCCTCCCGGGGGCTCTCTTGTGCTCCACACAGATGTTCGCTCCACTTTAACTGAGGCTGCATGCACAGCAATCCCCATTTCTCACTGTGAGGTATTTTTAATTGCACCAATCACTTTGTTACCTTAAAGTTACATTAGAAGTAATTTTAGGTGGGGTGCGGTGGCTCACGCCTGCAATCCCCGTCGCTCAGGAGGCTGAGGCAGGAGGATTGCAGGTTCAAAGCCAGCCTCAGCAATTCAGTGAGGCCCTAAGCAACGTAGCAAGACCCTGTCTCAAAATGGAAAGGTCTGGGGATGTGGCTCAGCGGTTAAGTGCACCTGGGTTCAATCCTYRGTACCAAACAAAMAAMCAAAAATTTATTTTTTCCACTTCTTGAAGTCAGCATTGACTTCCTCCTCTTGATGCCCCCCAGCTGCCTTCTCTGGCCCCCAGCTTTCTAAGGGCAGCTCTGGTCGGCTTCTCTCTCACACATGCTCAAACACACACACATAAACATGCACACACATGCATGCACATGACCTTGGGGCTGCGAATTTCCCGCCTACTCTGGGTCACCAAGGCGTCTGAGCGAGCTGTGACTCACGGGCAGATCATGRGAACCAGGCCTAGCAGCCCCTGACCCCTGGCCCATGTTGCCCCTTTCCCATGACATCTCCCTCTAGCTGCCCTGCCCTGGGTGGGCTCAGGGGCTGCCCTTAGCTGGGGGGGGCCTCCTCCAGCTGGTGGAGGACCCAGCCATCTCTGGAGGAAGGGGGGAGCCCAGGGTGAGTGGGGTGGCAGGAGGCCAGGCTGTGGGGCCGTCAGGCCAGAACAGGTTCTGTTTCCTGAAAGCGCCAAGTCTGGGCTGTGGGGCTGACATATAAATCCCCTTCCTGAGTGCCTGGCCGCTCTGTTCCCTCCTGGGTCTCTCTGCCACCCCATCTGGTGAGTGCATCTCSGACTCGACCCTTGTTTCCATAGTTTTCTGTCCAATTTCCTCGGTGGGATTGGCCTTGAGCCACTTGGGGGGACCCTCTGTGAGTCAGATTGAGGGACCTTTCTCCTGGTTCTTCTGTGAGGTCTCAGTTTGGGGGTTACCCAAGGCCTTCCCTCGGGTCTCTTGGTAGGGGCATGTTATTCTGTAGGAGTCCTTCTTTGGGGGGTCTAGATATGTGTGTGAGGGGAACTTTAAGAGAATTCTGAGTTGGTTTTGTTTTTGCAAAGTCCTGGCTAATCCTTAGTAAGGCTGAGGAACAAGGAGCAAGGGTCCCCAACACATGGCCCCACCCGGGTTCTGGCCTGGAATAGCGGCATAGCTCTGCCCACGGAGGCTCCCCATGCTCTCCCGCCTAGGTGAAGGTAGGCTGGCGGGCGGGGCTGGCCGAGGGGCCCAGGGCTTTCCCTGCCTCCAAGATAGCTCCTCTGGCCTTGCTCTGGGACCTGCCCGACTCTGCAGGCTGAACTCAGCGTTCTCAGCGGCCAATGGAAAATGCCCTCTGAGGTCCATCCTTGTGACCCCAGATTCTACCTGGACCCCAAGGCACGAAATGTTTAGTTTCTTTAGTTCTAATCCCAGCAAAGTCCTTCGTGGTGGGGGTATTCGGTGGCCCCTGCCCTGCCCCCTGCCCGTGTCTTGCCAGCACACACAGCGCTCCAGGACTGAGGGTCTCCTGTGATCAAGGAGACACATCCTCGTCTCCGAGAGCCCCTAGTCCGAGGGAGGCAACATCCCTGCCAAAGAGGCTCCCAGGCAGTCGGCAGCCCTGGCCCGAGGCACAAGAGACCCCTGGRGGGAGCCTCAGAGTCCCGGGAGCCATGGCTATTGCCCKGTGGTGCAGGGAGCCACCRGCCAGCCCTGTGCACACCTGTGCTCCTGGACCTTGGCACGGCTCTGGTCACCCTGTTAGTTCCCTTCCCAAGACACTCAAGAGGGGGAGCCCTGCCCTCAGAGGTGTGTTCCTAGTGTGACTGTGCCCTTGGGGGACACGGGAAGGTTCAGCATGCCCTCATGCCAGGTGTGGGCACGACCCTTGCCCACGGGAGCCACACTGTGAGGGCGACATGGGGCCCCCCCTTACAGAGGGGCTTGGTGAAGTGGGGGGCGGCCCAGGGCAGAAGTGGGTCCTGCTGGCTGGGCTGTGGCCCCAGGTGACTCGGTGACGTCAACATCATTGCCACTTCTCCGGCCCCAGGTCCAAGATGTCCAGTCCCCTGGAGCAGGCGCTGGAGGTGATGGTCACTACCTTCCACAAGTACTCTGGCCAAGAGGGCGACAAGTTCAAGCTGAGTAAAGGGGAGATGAAGGAGCTTCTGCAGAAGGAGCTGCCCAGCTTTGTAGGGGTGAGTGGGGCAGCCTGGGGGGGTGGGCGGGGTCGTGGGGGCGCGGGGCGGGGTGCAGGGTAAGTGTCTGCCTCTTCACTCCYGTGGTCCTGCTGGTGCAGAGGCCAGGGTGGGGTCAAGGGTTCCCACCACGACTTTGGCTTCTTGGTTTCACTGGAGTGGGAACAAGGCCCGTGTGTGAGCGTTCTGTTTATGGCTGTCCCCTGCACCATTCTTGAGAACTGTGTGCTGTTGGGGCCCTCAGAGTCCATCTGTCAATTCTCTTCACTGGAGAATTGAGCAACTCAAAGCCCAGAGAGGGAAAGTGACTGGCCCAAGATCACACAGCTATGCTGTGTACTTTCCCCTCCTCTTATTTTCCATATTTACGTGCCAAACCAAGAGGGCATGTAGACAGGATAACGCAGCAAAGACATGCACTCTGGGACATTTTGCAGAGAAATGCAGTCATTTCTCAATTTGCCCCTTGCTACCCTTGTACTGACTAATGGTAAAGTCAGGTCCCAGGCTTTGACCATATTAGGCAGGTCTGTCCTTCCGTCTTCCCTCCCACTCTCCCTCTGTCCGTCCCTTATTTCCTTCCTACAATTTCCAAATCATTTTGGTTGTATAAAGAGCATTTGCTTTTCTGAATCCCATGCTGATTTGGGGGAGCAGCAAGCCTGTGTCCTCATCAGCAAAATGGGGTCATGATATCCACCTGGTTGGGCTACAGTGGGGGTTAGAGCCGGTGGGCACTTAGAGGCGTGTCCAGCATCCCCCTACCCCCAGGAGGGTGTGCGGGAGACCCCTGCCCACCACGTCCCTGGCAGCCAGTGGAGGGAGCGCTGGGCCCTGGCTTGGGGGCATGGTTCTGGCTGTGGCTTTGGTGCRGAGTGGGGCAGGAGCCAGCCTGGCCATGACCCCAGTCCTTCCTGCTTTCAGGAGAAGGTGGATGAGGAGGGGCTGAAGAAGCTGATGGGCAACCTGGATGAGAACAGCGACCAGCAGGTGGACTTCCAGGAGTATGCCGTGTTCTTGGCTCTCGTTTCCATCATGTGCAATGACTTCTTCCAGGGCTACCCAGACCGGCCCTGAGGACCCACTCTGGACTTGGGCCACCAATCTCTTGGGTTCAGGAGGACTCTCCGTCCCTTTTAATTTTGTACTCAATAAAGATTTTTATTTGTTGGTAATACTCTCATTGCTCAGTGATGCCCCGTCACTTGGCTGGTTCAGTTAAAGTGCTRGGGACTGGGGGCTTCCTGAATCCCACCCCGTTCTGCACCTTGACTCTCCAGGTCAGAGCTGTGCCTTCGGCCCTCGTTCTGAGATTTCAGACACCAATAAAAGTCTGGAAATCAAAATATTTTTTCAACATTTTATTTYGCCAATAAAGATATTTWAAAAAAAGGCAAATACCATCGACCATTCCTAACATCTCATAAAAAGAAAAGTTCAGTTCCAACCCAGAAGTGTCTAACCTCGGAACAAAGGACAGACTTCAATACTGTGAGCAAGGAGTGGGCCTAGAAGCTGGTGGGAGACATGGATTGGCCTAAGCAGCCCTGCCAAGCGTCAGTTTTGAGGACTCTTTGTCAGATTGTAGGCCCTAGGCTGTGTACTTATTTTCATAAAAGCTATACTTATTTTTACATCTGCTTCCAGATTGGCTAGCTCTATTTTGAGTTCATTCCTCTCCTGTTGATCTCTGCTAAAAGCTCCTAGGGAGCTAGCTCCTGCCAAATTCTTTTTGTTCCCCTACCATTTTYTCTAAAACCGTAGGCCAGGTTGCCACAGGTTCTGCGTCCTAAGGCACATCAGGTGACACTTTGACCCGAGGCTTTGCCATGTCATAACAAGGGTTACCAACCTTCCAGTCTTCATATGGTTTTCTTTGTAGTCTTTTTCCAATTTCACATTTTATGTTCTTTTCCTTGTTAGATTCTACTTCTAGTTACCAAATGCTCTACCAGTTAGTGATGTATTTGGTTTATAGAAAGCCTGACTAGTAATGTCATAAATAAATCAGCATTTTAATGCCTCMCACAATAAGCCGTCTGGATAGGTAGGTCATGTTTGGCTCAGTGGCTCAGAGATGCTTTAGGGGTTACCTGTCTATGTTCAATGAACCAACCCACTGTATGGTGCCTTAAAACACAAATTGGTTGTCTCTAATGGTTCTGTGGCTAGCCTGGGCTTAGCTAATGGGTCTCATTTAGGATGTCTCATGCGCTTGGTATTGGGAATTGGAGTGGATCATTTGAAAGTTCTGATTAGCTGGGCATGGTTGGTGCAGTCGGAAGTGAGTCACACACAGGTCATCAGTTCCTTGATGGAGCCCAGTGCRACTCTCTGTACATGGTTCTCCTGGATCCTGGCTCTTGGCTTCATGTTCTGAGTCAACTCTTTTTTTTCCGTAAGAAATGTCTGGGCTGGTCATGGTGGTGAACACCTGTAATTCCGGCTACTTGGGGAGAGGCTGAGGCAGGAGGATCCCAAGTTCAAGGCCAGTCTGGGTAATTGGGCAAGACCCTGTCTCAAAATAAAAAATACAAAGGGCTGTGAATATAGCTCAGTGGTAGAGTGCCCCTGGGTTCAATCTTCAATACTTGGGATGGGGATGAGAAGAGAGAGAAATGTCTGTTTTATAGGTAAGTAGCTTTATCTATTTCTTCCCTATAAAAGGCTGAAGACTCAAAACACTCTCTCTCTCTCTCTCTCTCTTTGAGTTTTCTCTGTTCCTTTCTTTCCAAGATGATACAATTCCTTTAAAAATATTGTGGACTCCCTGTGCACCAATTTATAATGAGATGAAAGCCACAGCTACAAATCTCTTTGAGCCTGATCTCTTTTTACCTTAGGCTGAGAGTCAGGGTGCTGTGAGGGAATGTTCTTAAGACCCTTAAAAGCCCTTCTCTGCAACGGTCCAAGTGGCACACTTCTAAAAGTACTAGAAGCCAAAATGGTGGGTGCAGTGGTGCAGACCTGTAATCCTGGTGACTTGGGAGGCTGAGGCAGGAGGATGGAGCGTTCAAGCCTACCCTGGGCAATTTAGCCAGACCCTAAAAGCTCAAAAGGCTGGGAACCTAGCTTACTGGTAAAGAGCCCCTGAGTTTAATCCACAGTACTGCAAATAAGTAAATAAATAAAATAAAAATAAAAATAAATAAAATTACCAGAAGCTGTATTTTTTATTTGAGAAAGCTTAGGAAGTTCCCCTTAAATCTTTCTGAGTCTCATGAAAAGGCCTCACCTTTGATTTCCGTTTTACCTTGAGACCCCTTCACAGGCAGAGCCCTGGAGTTGACCTTTGCCCTGAGACCCTTTATGACTTTGAGACGCTTTTGCTGGCTGGAAAAACTCCAATGGGACCTCAGTATTTCCTCTAAGTTCTGCTAAAAACCTAAATAGGCCCTTGTTCGCCTCAGCTCTCTCTTCTCATTTTTAATCAAAGGCAGCCAGAAGAGACAGACAGGCAACTCCACTCTTCTTCTAAAGTCTTCTTGCCTGGGATCTAGAAAAGTTATCAGGAGCCTTTTCTATTCCCCATCAACACCAGATGATGGTGTTGCCAGACATCTCACCGCTACCTAACAGGGTCTCCCTTTTCTCCAGCTGCAGGGACAATTGTTTTTTGGCTGTCAATCAAATTATTACCAACTAACTACCTTTTTAAGGTCCTCCCTGCTTTCACCCGTGGCCTGGTCCCAAAGCTAATGACACCTGTTTTATTTTATTTTAGTTTTTTGTACTAGCAGAATCTTCCTGGGGCACTCTACCACTGGGCTACATCCAGCCCTTTAATTTTTTTTTTTAAAATTCTGAGACAGGCTGGTCTCTAACTTGTCCAGGCTGGTCTCCAACTTGCGAGTCTCCTGCCTCAGCCTCTCTGAGTGGCTGGGATCATGGGCGTGCACCACGGAGCAGGGCTAAAACATGGATTGGCTTGAGTGAAAAAGGAAGAGGGGACGAAGAGTGGACAGATAATAGGCAGTGTTTTTCTGAAATGTTTTCTTATTTTTCTTCCTTCCCTGGGAAATCGGCTGCTTGGGAACCACGTGCAGAGTAGCTCAGGCTCCGTTCTCCAGGGTGGAAAGGACCCGGGAGAAGCTGCTGGAGACCCTCTGGTTCTCACCTACTCTTTGGCCTTAACTGCCCACTGAGCCTGGTGAGGCGAGGCTGGGCCGGCCTGCAAGGACAAGTGGTCTCTTCTTTACCCTCTCTGGTCCGTTTCCTCATCGTGGTGTGCAGAACCAACAGCACATTCCTTTTCCAGTCTTGGGAGGATCCTGGGTAGGCCCCACAGAGCACCTGTTGAGAGGGTGTTCCACAAACGGCTGATGCTGCGCCCCCTCAGTTTCTCCATCTGTAAACAGGGCCTAGTGATGGTTCCCTTGGGGTTGCCAGAGGCTGAGATGACAGCGTGCAGGAAGGAGCTCTGAGAACTGCGCAGAGATGCTGACCACCATCACGACTCCCCGCCCCGTGTCTACYCGCTCCTTCCCTGCAGGGTCTGAGGACAGGGCTTCTGTCTGTTTATGGCCTGACAGGTCCCTGTTAATCAGATGCCTCTGGTCTTCCTGCTCTGATTAACAGGGGGGCAGGACCACTCCCTGGTGGCTGGATCCTGCAGTCTGATTTCTTTTGGACTTCTGGTCCCYGTGGGTCCTGGCTTCTCAGCCCTGGATTCTGGAACTGCTTTGGTTGGTGGAGACTGGCTTCAGCTGACTACCTCCGGAGTTGTCCCCAGCTGGGCATGTCCCAAAGAAAGCTGATCTCCATTCTTCTTGGGTGTTTGACAAACTAACAAACAAGGCACTTTTCTAGCCACTCCCAACATTCTTCTTTCCTTCCCCCCCTGTCTCCAAATCTCTGTGCTGAGGCAGAGAAGGAAGACCTGTGGCCAGACTCTCCCTTTCCCTGTGGGACTGCTGTTGGGAGGAGAGTYAGGGACTCTCACCTCCTGTGATGTCCTACTGGCCTTTGCTCCTTTGGGTTAGCCCCCGGCAGTTCATTAACAGTCCAAGAAAAGGGAAACGGAGGGCAAAGGTAGATTTCCTACCAAAGTCAAGTCTGTGTACCTGTTGCTCAGTTCTTGATTACAAGTTGTTGGGACGAGGAAAAGATATGTTGGGAACACCGGCAAGAGGGGAGGATGGGCTAGAGCCCTGGGTGGTGGCGAGACCCACCACCTGAACTCAGTCTGGGTTTCAGGCCCCTTTTATCCTCAGGCAAGGGGAGGGGACTCCTTGGTTTCKGGAAGGATCAAGGACAGATGGCCACGTGCCTCTCCAAGCTCGGGAATGGGGTGCTGCGACGTATGCTGTGATCACAAGGCGCCATGCCCCTGTGAATTTTGGAAATCTTTATCTTGGTATCTTTAGCCTTGAAGTGGGAGGAGAGAAAGTAGGGAAATTTAGGGAAAATCAATCTTGTACTTGTTCCAGACAAATGTTCCTTAAATGACTAATATGTCTACACGTGGAATTGAGCAAAAATCTGACCCAATGGTCAGATTGGGGGTGAAAAAAAGAGGAAATCTTTTTTTTTTGATTATTTGTTTAGTCATTCATGACAGTGGAATGTATTTTGACATATCAAACATACACGGAACATCACTTTCCATTCTTGGGTTGTTCATGATGTAGAGTTTCACTGGTCCTGTATTCCGATATGAACATAGGAAAGTGATGTCGATTCACTCTACTGTCTTAAGAGGAAATCTTAACCAAAAGTCAAGGCACAAGAGACAGATACAATAAGAAGCAGAGATGTGACAGACACTTGTACAGCCGCAAGTRAAGAGTCAGTATTTTTAGCAAAAGTGGCCAGTAAGTCCTTGAAAAGACCCCAGCTATCACCATGACCCACATGACGGAGTGTCACCTGCAGCTAAGCTAGTGGGAGACTCATAATGTATTGTTCAGTTACATCACTTCCCAAATTATTAATTTTTTTGGTACTGGGGATTAAACCCAGGGGTGCTTAACCACTGAGCCTTTTTATTTTGAGACAGGGTTTCACTAMGTTGCTGAGGCTGGCTTTGAACTTGTGATCCTCCTGCCTCAGCTTCCCAAATGGCTGGGGTGATAGGCGTGCGTCACCATGCCTGGCAAAATGAGTGATTTTTAAAAGTTAGTTAAGAGCAAGTGAAGTTACAGGGTTTATTTAGGCTTTTCCTCAATTATA